ATGTCGATAAAAGTAAAGGAAAATAACAACAAAGTCGAAGAGAATTGTCACTTACGATTTCGAACTATTACTTATGTTTAGTCGTGCCTGTTGGAGAAGATCGTCTTAACGGAAGGGGGTGATCGACTTTATATGCAGAAAATCGAAGTAAAATAAAAAGAATAACAAGAGGTAGAAGAAGCAGAAGAAGAAGAAGAAGCGGAAGAAAGGAAGTAATCTTACGAGTTTAATAAATAACGATCAACGACAATGACGACAAGAAGGATCGTTAAAGGAAGAAAATCACGAACGACGATAACTGGAGTAAATTGTTGTCTACTATTCGAGATTTTAGCGCGGAATGGGTTGATTAGCAGCTAGAATCAAAGAAATAAGAATAAACAGAAGAAGAAGAAGAAGAAGGAGAAGAAGAAAATATCAATGAAAAGAAAAGAAAAAGGAAAGGTAAGGTAAGAAACAAACAAACAAAAAATAGAGAACACAAATATAAGATGAAAGGTAAGAAAGAAAGAAAGGGTTGGGAAGGATAAAAGTCGAATAAAAAGCGAAGCTTTTCTACTTAGGGACACGACACGGCGCGTCTACTAAGGATCGTTCGCGACTACTCGCGGTAACGGCGTGTGTCAAAGGTTCCAAGAAGGAGGCTCGCGCTTCGCGGTTTCCCCGTCGACAAGGACGCGCCCTCTGGCCGCGCGCATATTTTAGCCGGACACGCACGCGAGTTTAAGGTGATCGGCTCGCGTGGCCTCGCGCTTCACGACTACTGCACCCTCGCGAGACGCGTCTCCGCACTCCCCCCCCTCCTCCTCCACCACCACCACCACTACGTCCTCCTGCGAACCAACCATCATCCACCACTCCTTCACTACTCTTTCATCCCCACTCTGATTCGACCTTCTTAAACGTGCGTCCTTCCCGACACCTTCGATCTTTAAACGCTTTACGCGCGTCGTCTTATATTCTATCGTATTTTTTATCGATGTCCCAAGTAATCGCCGAAATTTCTCTCTTTTTATCTATTTGATACTCTATTAAATTCCTATTTTACTTTTCAAATCACATACGTTACTTACTGCTACTCGTTCTTTTCGTATTTTCCTTTTTATCCTAATACAATTGATTGTTATTTTTTATGTTTATATATTCGAATTGTTTTATATTTCTTCACGCGTAAGATGACTTTTTTTTTTTAAACACTATGATAAATTGCATTACGAAGGATATTATAACCTCTTTGTATTATAATTAATCGTCCATTTTTTTTTTCTAATATTTATATACTTTCAATGTTCTTCATATTAATTTGTTTTATTAATTGAAGTTGTCATATAAAGTTTCAAATAATGTTATCATGCCAGACTGTCAGTTAATCTCACAATGTAAAGGGTTAATACTGGTATCTATTTAATATCAAAGTCCAAGTAATATGGCTACTTTTTCGTTATTTATAATTTTTTTTTTCTTTCTTTCGTATTATATCTCTCTCGAAAAAAAATGTAAAGTCTTTTGTCAAATGACATTTGACATTTCTGAAAAGACGGGTTAAGAAAGAAATGGTATAAGGTACCAAAATACCGGACGTTCATTAAGGCATATTCGTTCGTTCTTTTTCATATTTATTTAATGACGACTATTATTTTGTACATTTCTTTCATATGAAATTTTTAATACGAAATAAATATTTCATGAATTAGTTTATTATTTTTAATTTGTAAGCTCGATCGATTTCCACGATACACATGTACATATATAAGATAACGTCAATCTCGATAATACTTAATGATAGAACATAATTGAACGATTGGAGTGGTCGTTATACTAACTAAAGCATAGTTCGTTGTAGCTCAATTTGTTTGGCACACGCGATGAGTAGCACACATGGAAACAGTTCTCTAGTTATTAGTCAACCAACAAAAGAAGAGCTATACTTGGTGACACCTAACAACCTTCTACAATTGAAAAGTAAAAAAGGGAAACCGCACGAAAATATCTGTTTCGTGAAATGTTAATGCTTATCGAGCGACATTCAACTAGATACTTAAACGTGATAGGCAACGATATGCCTTTATAACAAGAATATTATACCATTGATTTATTTAAATGAAGATAATCGTTAATGAATAAAGATTGCCTATATTATTCTCAAAGAAAGAAATCTATTTTTTATTTCAATTTGTACTATTCCTTTATCGTATCGTATTAATTACGTTAGACGTATATCATTACAAAGCATAAGTTCATGTAAAGAATAGATTTCTTTTTCTTTTCAGTAAGAAAAGAAAAAGAAGAGAAGGAAGATGTTGAACGGATGTTCATTGTTAAACACAAATAAGAGAGAGGTAGACATTTTCTTCGTCAATTTCTACAGAAATTAGTCTATATGAATGCTTTGAAGTGGTACTGGGCGCACTCGGGGTCAGCCACGAACATACACAAAAGACCGAGAGAGAGAGAGAGAGAGAAAGAGAGAACGAGGGTTCTCTCCCACCCCCGAGTGTGAGCATCGCGCAGTGACATTGCTGTAGCTGGAAACTCCGAATCCGTTCCTTCCTCCTAGCCCCGAAACGAGGTGCAAGGTGCACTCCGTTGAAGAGAAAGAGGAGGAGGTGGGGAAGAAGAAGAAAGGGTTGGTTGTCTAAAGGCCTGGGCCGCGCAAGCGCTTCAAGTCCCTTATCAGCGAGCCAACTGGGCCAGGATGCGAGCAAAGCAAAATCAGCGTGTCTTGCGAATCCTCTCAATCGAGCTTGCTCGAAAATATTGAAGCCCCTCCCCTTCTTCCAAGATGACGCGACTCTTTATCTTTGTTTTCTATTTTTTTTCATATTTATCTCACTCATATAATCGTTTATTTCTTTGCATCTATCGTTAGGTAGATCTATATTATAATTTCATATAACATTGTTATATTTGTTCTATTCAATAATAAAAAAGTATTTGAAAAATCATTTCTGTTTCTGTTCATTTCAAATTCTTTCGTTCGATGATCGTTTATGCAAGAATTTATTTACCTACGTGCAAAACAGAAACTAAAAGCTTCTACGTCGTTTTCTACATTATAATTTATAATAATTTGTTTTTCAGAGCTAGTCGTACTGTGTGACTCAATTGGATACGTAATATTCTGTTTTTATCTTTAAAACATGAATTCAACAATAAGATAAGAACACTGTATCATATAGTAAAAAAGTCATTTTATTATCACATGAAGTATTCTTTAAAAATGTTCCGTTAATATCAGAAAATGTGATTTAGAATAAGAACAAAATTATGTTATTTGCTCTTGATTTATATAATGTTTTGCATGTTAGAAAATAATTAGCAAAGGCAAGTGATCTAAGTCATTTATTATTTTTTATTTGTATTATTTATAGACAATAGGTTTTAAGAGTAGAATTTAACACAGTTAATGAAATTGAAATGAGTATTTTATTAGTCTTCCTAAAGATGTTATAATAAATCAATTTGTTAAGTGTCTAAGTAAAATGATGATAAAAAAAAAAAAAGATATCGAAGAAAGAAGATACAAACCTTTCTTTCTAAACAGAGGACGATACTGCTTAAACCCAATCTCAGCAAGCCATTGATCTGCTTCTGTGAGATCTCCGTTGCTTCCATTTCCAGCGGCTAGCATCAGAAGTTTGCCCAGTGAGAGGATCATAGAAAGGGCAAGAAATACCCCCGACAATACTGTCGACCATCGTGCCATGGTATGAAGAGTGCATCTTTACAAGGAAATCCTAAAGATTAAAAATTGTACGTATTGCTTGATTGAAACTAGCTCATATGTAATACTATATGACATCCCTTTGCAAACAATTATTCTCAGCAAGTAAAGCAAAGAAAATTTGCTCAATGATGTATGCAATGTATGTATATTGAAAAATATGACATAATTGGACACAAGTTTAATATACATATGTATATACACGTGCATATATGTATAATTTTATCGATTATGCTAAAATCCCGGCAATTGACCGATCGTCAACAGGTCATGTGTCAAAAATCGTAGGTTATGTTTGATATGATGTTTGTAAACAAAGTACAGTTGCTTCGTAAAAATGGCAAAAAATGAATTCCAATCAACTCACCACATTTTTATGTAACTTGTCAACGTTACGCACAACGCAATAGACAGACCCGTACTCGCGCTCTTTTAAAAACTTACGACGCATGAAGTGAAGGATAGAACGAAAATTATGTCTCTCTGTATATATCTGTAGATGGAGCGATAGGTGGGAGGGCGCTTACAACGGTGTTAAACTCGAGAAACACGTAAGGGCTCATTTTATATGATTTGAAAAATACATTCAAGTTGAACTGATTCAAATGAATAATTTCAAACTAATTGTAAGAGCATTTCAACGTATCATGTTATAAAAATCTTCTTAAAATTAATTATTTACATTTTTTGTTTACAAATTTGATTATGATATTCAAGATCATAATTTTGAATGAATCAATCAAATCCAGGGATATTAAGAATAAGGGATTATTTGTTCACAAGTGTAAATGGATAAAAAGTAAGAAATAATTTGTTAAGAACAATTTAAAACGATATCACGAAAAAAAGAAGAAGAAGAAGAAGAAGTTAGACAATTAAGTAATAAACGTAGGCGAAGTATTAATCAAATTCAATGAAGTATGGAAATTTTTCAATGACCTTAAATAATGTGAACTATCATTTAATATCGGATTTTGTAAATTACTTCGAAGGACTTGATATATCACAATATAAGAATAAAATGATATAAGAAAATTCTACAAATGATGTCTATTCAAATAATTAATATTAATATTTGTCCATAATAAATATTTGTTTTATCGATAAAGTAGGAAACTGATCTTCTTTATCAACAAAATATAAGATAAACAAATATTCTGTTTTATCGACTGAGAACTACTCCGTGTTTAAAAACTTGAAGTACAAGCCTCTAGATCTCAAGAAAGTTCGATCTTTAAAGGGACGAACTGTTTCATTCCAAATCTCGATAGAACGCGCCGTACGAGTTTCTGATAAGAGAAAAAACGAGTTGCGGTCTTGTACAAGTCGACTTTGTATTTCTCGAAGGTGTTCCGCGCAAGCGACGTAACAGAAAGAACCTAACCTAACTTAATATACATAGCAGTATAGAAATCAATGAGTTTCGTCAAGTACAAAGCTTGATTCTATCGGATCACATTGAGTGTTATTTTTTTTTTTGTCTAGCCAAGTATTAATTTCATCAACAATTTATATTGTGATTAATGATTTTAAAGGGATAATCTTATTTTACCGTTTATTCGTGAAGGAAAATAAAAAAAATAAATATAAGTAACGAGAATAGAAATCTTTTTCATTTTTACATACAAATAAAACTAGTATAGCTATTATTATTAACAGGAAGTTAGTAAATTCCGCGCTTTATTTGTGCACAAATTAGCACAAGAAAGTAAAAACTTTCACGTTGATATTATTCGACGATTATTCAACGATGATACTCGAAAGTGTTTTTTATCAATGGAGAATCAATGAATCCTTCGAAAATATTGAAGGCACGTTAGGACGGAGCTCCTTCCGCCGGATTAGAGCTCCTTCCTGCAATCCGGATTAAATTTATTCGTTGCGGTGCCTTGGCACGACGAAGGAATTTTTGCAGGTAAAGAAATCGCTTCTTATTATTATTCTTATTTGTTTGTTTTTTTTTTTTTTTTTTTCAATTGTAAATCAGTATTCATTCTTAACACGTGCGTGGTAGTATAACCCGTTCTTTTGTGACAAGGGTTTCTCTTGAATGTTTTTTATTCTTTTTACGAAAAGTCAAGTAAGTGACACAAGTTATTACATATTCATTCATACGTACGTTTGCGTAAATGTTTATACGATTATTGTTATATATATATATACTTTTATATTATTTTTTTTCTTATTTATATATCTATGATTTTGTATTTTTAAAATAAAAAAATAACAATATATATAT